AAGGGAAACTCGTCGCCAAGGGCAGGCCCCTCGAAATTAAAAAAAAAAAAAAAAAAAAGGAAAAATTTAGAAAATTCCCAACAAGTCAGGGGGATGAGACGTTCAAGCACGTCCACCCTTCTACCAGTAGAGTTCTAAAAGAGCGCACACCACACAGCTTAGCTGCTGGAGGCAAGTATTTTTACAGTAGCAGTTCTTAAACACTTGGATCCACAGGTCACAATAAACCCTTAAACTTTCTTGCAGATCTCCACAATAGCCACGGGAGTGAACAAACATGTGCAAATAACTGCATATTATCACTTCAAAGGGTTACACGTGGATCACAGTCTGGGCACTGCTGCTCCACAGGAAGGGAAGCCAAAAACCTTTACAGTGGGAAATGGTTACAGTGGCCAGGGTTTCAGGCTTCCTTGCTCTCGTGTGGAGAAGACAGCATATAGCACAGACCCAAACACCTTGCCAGGAAAGCTGGCACAAACGGTGCTCTACTATGAAACTCAAACTGCATGGAGACAACTTCCAAACTTATTCCCACTAGTTCCCTTGATCCCCCATCAAAAATAGTCTTCAGACGTCTAGGAAAGGGGAACACACTGCACGTTCTGGATGTCGTGCTCCATCCCCAGGTAGCACACCAACAACGCTACCTCTCCTCTGCAGCCCAACAGCAGCAACCAGGCAATACCATGATCCCAAGCAAATTTAAATTTGGAGAAATCCACCAATGACTATGAGGCTAAGAGATTTCTAGCTGCATGCTGCGCTGGATACGCAATCGCACTTGCAAAATGCTGGCGAGGTCCCATACTACAGTCCAGCTACATTGTGGTACAGCAGGTTGAACACATCCTCTGGCCGATTTCTGTTATTGCTACAGCAATATCTCATTATCATCTGTTGAGACTTTTGAAGAAGAGGGAAGGAACAACCATCAGTGCAGGGCAGATTTAAGCGTTCTTAGGCCTAAAGCCCCAATCTCCAAATCACAGCTCCCTAGTGTTTCTGCAGGTATGCGCCAAGGACACGTTATATCCTAAGCACAGCGGCACTCCACAAAGGAAAACAAAAAAAAGTTAATTACTTCCATGACCTTACATCAACTCTAAATGCTAAAACTGTCAATACACAGTTGGCTTCTTGCTAAGTACAGACAGGAACTAGCCTTGTAGAAAACGCGATGTTGCTGGGTAGCCCCAGCAACACAATGCTGCCAGTTGTATCCATAACACCCTCTGAGGAACAATTTCCGTCCCAGGTGGCAGAGCCCTTATAAGAGAGGATGCTTCAGAGCTGAAACTCCACTGGCTGGTTTGTAGTTAATGGCACAGCAGCAGTTCAGAATTAACTGTACACAAGCAACACTCCCAGTGTTTCCAGTTCTTCTAACCAGGCTAAAATAACGAAAGCCTTTGGGATCTTAATTACATGCAAGAGGAGGCACAATCTCTCTCTTCGGCTGTAGTAACAGGATCCCAGTGAAAGAAGCAGTCTTACTAACCAGAAAGGGCTTTTCTGTCGCACAGGTTGCAAGGTGAGGGGTTTTCTAATTAAAAGCTGGCAATCTTCTGTGCAAACAACCTTTCCCCACAGTTGCAAATTAGTTCCTCTCTATCCAAAGCTCTCTGAAACAGTTAACTTCTGGCTGTGAGACCATCCTGTCTCTCTGCCTGCTCAACAATAGATCCAGCTAAACAAATGCCTCCTAATTGACTTTGAGCAACACTTGATTGCTTTTACAAAAAACAAAAGAGGGGAAAACATTGGGGTTTATGAAATAATGCCTAATCCTGGAGCAAGAGAAGGGGGCTGGGTTGGAGCACTGGTGTCAAACAGAGATGCAATCTCAGCTGAAAGAGCCCCAAGACACATGGGCCAAGTCATTCATCCCTCCCCAACTGCCCTCATTTCCACACCTGCTGATCTAAGCCAAACCCCTGCTAAAATCTAAACAATTGGGGCCGCTGGCAAACAAAAATTGGAGCATTGTCTTCCCCATGAGGGCTCTGAAAGGGCTGCACTTAATGAGGATGGACTGACAGAGAGGTGGCTCCTGGGCTATAAAAGGCTTCCCACAGGCAGGAGCGGCTCAGTCTGGGGTGTGCTGCCAGTTCATCTGCTACCGGCTCGCTCCGAGCATGGTCACGGCCCACCGCAGGCATCCCTCAAGGCCGGGCAGCCCATGGCTGCTGACTCTGCTGGTGTGTCTGCTGCTCGGGGGCTCTCCGGGCGCCCGGGCGAGCTACCTGAGGAGATCCTCCAGCTGCACGGCCATCCCCAACACCATGGCCTTGTGCTACGACATCGGTTACTCCGAGATGAGGATTCCCAACCTGCTGGAGCACGAGACCATGCCAGAAGTGATCCAGCAATCCTCCAGCTGGCTGCCCTTGCTGGCCAGAGAGTGTCATCCGGACGCTAGGATTTTCCTCTGCTCCCTCTTTGCACCAATCTGCTTGGACAGGTAAGATATTTTTGCAAGTTATTTCAGCTGTAGCAAGGAACACTTCCCCACAGTGCAATTGCATTTGTCCCCTGAGAGAAACTGTGCGAAATCAGATCATTGCAGTCATTTAGCAGCAGTCCTGCCCCAGTCAGTGAGGGGAAATGGGATTACTCAGCAGGGATCTTCCCTCTGAAAGCAAAACGTGAACATTTCTGAAGGGGAAACAGAAATCCTGTCAGATTACCAAAATAGCCTTTTTGGTTTCTCAAATCAGAATACATCATGTATAAACATATTCATGTTACCAACTCTCTTGGAAAAAGCTTTTCCACTGACTGACCATGCTGGTCTTCATCTCATACGCTCACGCTTCTCTTGCGCACAAACTCAGCTGGCCTCTCTTCCGCCTTGCGCACAACGCAGGTACGCTTCTACCTGCTTGCAGGGTTGTTTCATTTTGCAGGAGCAGCAACATCACATTCCCCCGCGGGATTTCCCTGGTTTCCCATCTCAGACATTGCTCCCTTTTGCTCCCGCGCACTCCTCTCACACAACACGTGCGCTCCCCGGGAGCTGCGGGCTGCAGTCCCACAGCCTCACTGCCAGCCTCCCGCCTGCACAGCCCCACACACCTCCCTCACCACTCCCTCTGCCCGGCCGCGCGCAGGCTTTCTCAATCTGAAAGTGACTGCAGCAGACGCAAATCCGCATTTTTGTGGCGTAGGCATCCAGCTACAGAACTGTTAAGGAAATCAGGTATCTAATTGGGCAGCTGCAAAAACAAGCAGCCCGCGGTCGCACAAATACAGAACATCCCTGGGGGGAGGAAGGGCTTCTGGCAGCAGCCTATACCAAAAAGCCTGCTCCCTTCTCACTCCCATCCTTAGAAATTGCTTGGTGCCTGGACTTAAATGTTCAAAATACATCAAACATCCCATAGCTCTACTAGTGCTGCAGCGCACACCGCAACCCTTTGAGGCAGGTAGCAAGGTGACAGAGCTCAACCCGCAGCCTGCTGTAAGAAAAACTCACCCTTTGCTGCAATCCTGATTCCCTCCCCAGGCTCATCTACCCCTGTCGCAGCTTGTGCGAAGCTGTCAAGAGAAGCTGTGCGCCCGTTATGGCTTGTTACGGTTACCCGTGGCCTGAAATCCTGAACTGCAACAAGTTTCCTGCAGATCACGAGCTGTGCATCTCAGCAGTCTCCACTGATGAAACTTCCTCAAGCAGGAGAAGTAAGGTGTTTTTCTCATCCATTTTCCCACATGTAACATTGACAGGTGAAAAGATGGGCCTATGCCTTGTTTGTGTTCCTTTGTTTGTGTTCCTAATATTTTTGGTTTTAAGCTACACTTAAAAAAACCTATAAATTCTAGTTTTGCTCTCTCTGGGAAAACCCCTTCTCCCCGACTACAACATTGGTGTAACACCGACTAAAGCTTGTTCCCCCTCGTAACTAGTGCATTCATTAGTTACCGGGACCAGCATTCAGCTGCAGCGCGAGAGTTAATAATACGCAGTCCCCAGGCAGCGAGATGTCCCACCACCAGAGCTAAGGAAGTGCAGCCCTCATGTTTCTGCTATACCCGAGGCTTTAAAAAAACAAATAAAAAGAAATGTTTTTCAGATGTTCTCTTTATACTTTAGGAAACAACACAAAGGGGCATGAGCTCCACTTAAAACACCCTGTATTGTTTTGCAGACACAACTGGCACAAGAAAAATCTTTAAGACTACCAAAATAGATTTGGCTCAAATTTGAAAGAAAACACCCTGAATGTTTTCTCTTCCTCACTACGTTAGCTGAGGAGTCCCTGTTGCTGCATTTTCATACCGTGCAACTATTTCTATTGCCTAGGTGACACCACTATTGCCTAAGAAGTCGTACTGTTAAATGCAGTTATGTGATGGCAATTTCACCAACTCCCCTAAAAGCTAATCCTGGTGCTCAGTCGTTTGTTCCAGGAAAAGCAGGTGCTGAGCCTCCAGATCAGTATTTACATAAGGGCTAACTAACCCTGAGAGCAACAGGCCGCCCTGGACAGATACCAGGGTGATCGTTCCCTTTCTAAGGATTCTCCAGTCACTCAGGTGTCTTGAGGCACCAGACTTTGAAAACCACTGTGCTGATTTAGAGGAAAAAAAAAAAAAAAAAAAAAAGGG